ACTGTCTAATTTTGAACGCGGTTCCTATAAAGTCATCTTATACCATCTCAGAGATAAAATTTAATGTCTGTGGCGTGTTTAGTGCTTGATTTATCGCGCTTTTAGTAGTTTTTAACAGTACCGTTATATGGGGAGTGGGCGGAGTTGCCACCCGATTTCAACTATTTTCACACCGTCAATAGAAGTGCTAAAAACATTTGCTTCCAGTGAATTTTGTTATTATAGCATTAGCGGTTTAGGAGATATGCACATTAAACCTATTAGAGGCGGGACCACGCCCACTTTTTAAAAAAAAGTTTTAACTGCAGATGCCCCTCCCTAATGTGATCCTGTGTACCAAATAACAGTCTTGTATCTTATTGCGGAGCTTAGTTATGGCAAGTTATTTGTTTTTGATTAATGGCGTTTTGTGGGCGTGGCAGTGGTCCGATTACGCCCATCTGCAATACCAACCGTCTCACGGTACCAAGAAACATGTCTACCAAGTTTCATAAAGATATCTCAATTTTTACTCAAGTTAGAGCTTGCACGGACGGACGGACGGACAGACGGACGGACGGACAGACGGACGGACGGACAGACAGTCACCCGGATTTCAACTCGTCTCTTCATCCTGATCATTTATATATATATAACCCTATATCTAACTCGATTAGTTTTAGGTGATACAAACAACCGTTAGGTGAACAAAACTATTATACTCTGTAGCAACAGGTTGCGAGAGTATAAAAAATTATGAAAAATAATAAAAAAGATTAAAAAAACAAATAAGGAAGTGCCAAGTTCGGTTGTAACCGAACATCTCATACTCTTACAACTTGCCAGGGTCAAAGCCGAAGAAATAACTTTAGGTGTAGGTAAAACCTAATTTTAAAAATGTTCTCTGAGTTTTATTAAGCTACCTCATATACCATCACCAATATGTAGAGAATAATGTCAACCGGATTTTTGAAAATCCTAATATTAGTTATATGGGGGCTAGGCCAAGTTTTTACCCGATTTTATCTATTTTAAACACAGAAATGCACCGTTAAACCATCAATTTAATTAAAATAATTCACATAATGGCCGATATATGGGGTATAAAGTCAGCCGGAAGTTTGAAAAATATCTTTCTTTTAGAAACATGTATGGGGGCTAAGAAAAATATTGACTCGATTCAACCCATTTTTGATATAAATATATAATATTCTCAGAAAAAGATTCGCTCCTAATTCCAATATTATGTATATTCCCACACGTTGACCGATATTTTCGGTAAAAAATCAGCCATAGCCTCTAGGGGTCCACATTTACGGTATCTGGGGGCTTTAATATTTATGGTCCGATTTTGACAATTTTTAGAACTGAGATGGTGCACGCGATATAATAATTGGTGCTAGATTTGTATACTGAAAAGTGAAAAAATCAGATGGAATTTAAATATGTGTTACCAGGGAAGTAGGCGTGGTTGTAGTTCCATTTCGCCCATTTTCGCACTGTTACAAGGGAATGTTAGGATAATGTTATATACCAAATTTGGTCTAGTGGGTCCAGAGATATGTTCTTTCACCCAAATGTGGGAGGTGGCACGCCCATCGTTATAATCCAATTTCACCTATTTTCAAATGATTTGTCTTGTGTAGACTTTGAGTGATATAGCTTGAATTGTATGGGAGATAAATACATTAAAGCGCTCTAAGGAAGGGGCCACGCCCATTTTTTCTATTACACTCTATAGCAACATGTTGCAAGAGTATAAAAATAACCTTAATTGCAGATTAGTCAGAACATTTTTCGATAAGCTACTAGCAAATATAATATCTAGTAATAATATAATACGTTTATTTGTAAAAGTTTTGCCTTTCAAAGCCATGATGTCATTTCAAATGTCATTATACTTGTAGTTAAATACAGTATTGAAGTAAGTGTGAATGAATTAATGCAATCTGAGCAATTTTTATTGATCAAAAATCATCATCAATACCATCTGATCAAAATTGACCTGGACTGACGAAGAAAAACACATTTTCACGTATTTGAATATAAAACTTTATTATCGGCTTCAAAATAGACTCCCTTTGTGCCAATACAAACATGCCAATTTTTCATACACTTCTTATAAGCCTTAGCTGGGATGGCCTTCAGTACCTTCAGCTAATGACTTTTAATGGCTTCAATGGACTGACGCGGATTTTTCAGTTTCGACAACAGAAAAAAGTCACAGGGTGCCAAAAAGTCAGTCATAATCATGCTAGAATGTAACACAATCATGCTAGAATGTAACCGACGACCCATTGTCGTGGCGAAAAATCCACCTCAAAACGACCAAGTAGTGACACTATGGAACCTTGTGTTTTCACCGACTTTGACGTTGTTTCTTCGGTTTCGGCTCCAGACAAACCTTCCGCGTTGTAATCTGGCATCTGACAAGCACACTCTAATTGATCAAACTTTACACGAACATAAAAAAGGTCATACTAACTCAAGAAAAAAATGTTTATCAATTTAATTTGAGCGCGCAGTTTAAATAGATAAATTTTCAAATCAAATTGATTAGAGGATAGGTTTCGGCCGTTATCATGTTTTAACATACAATTGAAATTTCTCATACAACTAAATAACTTGTAGTAAAAATTAAGAATAATTTCCCAAATAATTTTAAGTGTTGACAATCTTTGGCCGTATAAAAATCCGGATCCGTTCCGGTTACTTAGACCCGGCTGCCATGAGAACGTATCGACTACTTGGTGTTACCGTTGACCATTTTCTCTTCAAAATAAACTCGATTTGTGGTGCAAGCAAAAACAAAAACAACGGTTCGAAAGCAATGCTTCCATTATTTCATTTTAAATATTGTAGCAGGTTACTCTCTAGTATATCATGGTTTGACTCTAATATACAAAACGTCTAAAACTAGTTCCGCATAATGCTAAGCACCTTTCCCGCGGGGGAAAGTTGGGTCGCATTCATCCAAATTACTTTAGGAATGTTTAATGTGGCAACAACAAAAAGTTATGTAACGCGTGCAGGACTAAAATTTACTTTATACACTGCATGTAGAGTTCAAAATCAAAGCGGTATTTTTTCTTTTATAATGAGCACACTTAATATATATGACCCATATACTAAACACGCTTATGAAGTTATTTAAACCAGTCACATCAATAACAAACAACGACAGTACCACCTTGTCTAAGAAAATCTGCAATTTCGCGATAAATGTCTGAAAAATACGATATTTTAGCTAGCTATAAGCTAGAAAAGTAAACTGTAACGAACTGAAAATGCCTGAATTATATGAACTTGATAACAATATTTAACTTATTCACCGATTAGACAGGTGCTACAGCAACAAAAAATGGAGCAGAGCAGTCTTCGGGCTGTTGGTGCCAAGTAATGATAGTGGTGATTGCCATAAAGTTGGAATACAGCAGAAAGGCAAATGTTCGCAAAACTAAATATCCATACATACATTTATATTTATCACTATAGTATGCATAATCAGTAGTGAATTATTGCTGATAACAATTTTATTTAATATTATGAAAACACGAACTTAGAGCTAGTGGTAACAGACAATTTTGGCTAACGAACCGGCGACGACAAAGTGGTTCATGGCAAAATAATTGTTGCGCTTTTACTTTGCAAAAATTTCAGTCACAAGCAAACAAAAAAAATGAATAAACGACAACATTGAAGAGAGTGACAACAACGTTGGCAGAGACGGCATTGAGTGGCATTGGGGCTGCAAAGATGCTAAAATGTTCACGCGCCTTTAAACGTAGAAAGCAAATATGTGAAAGAAATTATAATTTTTTTGAATATGTACATATGCATATAGTGTGTGTGTGGTTTTCAAGATATACACACACATATGAGTGAGATATTTGCATTTGCAATTTTTCGCTTACCTAATCTACAAGTTAATCAGCAAGCAACAAGAGTGTTTGGAAGTCAGTTAGTTGGCTAGATGCCTGTTCAAAACGAGTGGGAGAAGTAGAAATCCATGAAAAATGACACGAATACAATGCCCAGCAATGCGAGAGAGCAACGCTAAAGCTTAGTTATTTTAATGGGCTACAGATGTAAGCAATAAGGAGAGTTAATCATCAGCTGCACTATTTTGCAAAGTAGAGGATAATACAATGTATTGTAGAAATGTGAGTATAGTATATAACTTGGAAATAGGAGGGCGGAAAATATACAAATAAAAAAATAAAATAAAAACAAGCGTGCTGAATCCTACAGCGACATTCGAACTGGAGCGTATATAAGTGCTCTGGGAAAAATGAGTGACACATAAATCATTAGTATGTTATGAAAGGTAAAATCTGCGGAGCAAACGGGTGTGAGTTTCAAGCTTAAGTGACACATACATTCAATTCTTAGCTTTGTGTTGAGAATAATTAAAAATAGCAAATCTGCTTTTAGCCAAAGGCGCGTTGAATGCTTACAGCTCGCTCGTTTGTCGCCGATACAAGGGGTATACATGTATAAATATGTGTAATTTCCTTTAATAGAATGATGCCGACTGTAGTACACGCGTGTGTGGTACTGACAAAAATCTAGATGGGGTAAGCAGGGGAGCAGTAAATGTTGTCATTAACAAATTCATTGCAGAAACAAGTGTATGTAATAAAAATGTGTGCAATACACAATTGTAGTTTTGAATTGTTTTTACTATGAAATATGTATCTGTTGCTAAAAACAAAACAAATTAAATTTATATGCAAAATACCCAAAATCCATCAGTTTTATCATTTTTTGTTATGGAAATTTTGGAATTTTTATTAATAAAAATACTGAGAGTTAAAACAGAAATATTTCGTTTTATTTGTGTTATGCCTACAGTGCCGATTCATATTTGTCTACACCCACATATGGTCCTTTATGATATCTATAGTATGTCTTTCATAATCAAATACTTGTGTGATTCATTGCTTTCAGCTACACACTTTGTCTCTACAGACTTTACTCCACCCTGCAAATGTTTCGGTTTTTTTTTTCATATTTCTTACCATAAATTCTCTTCTGCTGCATTAGATGCATCCTTTTTCTTCGCTGTGAAGGATGATGTCAGCGCATTAGTGCCATTTACAGGCAAACCCATGTCGAGCGCCATATCAAGAATGGTCAACTAATCCTCACAGCAACAGCTGCTTAATGGGCGACTTTATTCGCTTTTTTCCTTTTGAGCTTTTGTGAAGAAGTGAATGTTAAGTCGACTAATACAGGTTAAGGCTTATTATGTTTAGTAACACACAAATGTACGACAATTCTTTCAATTTTTCGTCAGCTGCTTCAAACTGCGAAAATTTTAACACAAGAACAAGTCACGAATTTTAACTAGTCTACTAACGATATTTTAACGTTGGCAGCGGCAATGCTGTTGACGATTGGAGCTAGGTTGTTTGTAATCGATATGAGTATTCCGCTGTTTCCGGGGCGGTGTTAGGGCACGGGTAATAATACTACAGCATGTAAAAGACGTTAAAGCCTTAAAAAGTGTTGCGAGATAAATAACCACAAAGATCAGCGATAGAAGCAGCAAGATGTGATGAGGCGATTAGTTTGTTAAGCTTTTACTTTTGATCGTTCGTTTCTTGAATTTTGTTGACCAATATGTATTATTTCCGCACTAACGTTTCCTTTTTATTACGATGTAAGTTTCTACATCAGAGCCGGGCCTTTGTATCTGGATGAGTTTATCCACTTTTTTCTATAATCGTTACCAACTGTCAAAATTTTCTTTTGGACTCTCCCACTCTCACTGCTTCCACTTAAACTTTTAGTTTTTCGTTTTGCTTTTGACTTGTTCACTTTTTTGATTTGTGCTTTTCGCATATGACGACGACTTGTCTTTTGCTTTTCTATGTAGTTTCAAGTCCAATTGGAATTTTCTTCGTCGTTTTCTGTACTGCTGGTCTCCTTCACATCACTTTTTCCCACACTGTAGTTATAAGAAAACTTTATTTCGTTTCTATGGTTTCGCACGCCCGCTTATATTTTAGCCTCAGAGAACAATTTATTCACTTATTATGTCTTTATTACAATATTCAATAGAGAAATTGTATAAAACTTTTCTTTGTGAGTCTCTACGCACGATGAATAAAACTTCTTTCCACCTCTTCGATCATCGACGAAGAAAACCAACGAAAAACGAATTTGCGTTGCAAATCGTCAGTGCACATTGGGTGTTGCCACTTGCGAATATGAAATTAATAGACAAGAAAAAACAATGCCCAACTTTTAAAATGAGAGGAATTTTTGAGTATTGGAGAAATTAAAAACAAAAAACATTATTTTAAGAGAATAAATTGGGAAAAAATATTTTATTATTTATAATTATATTTATTTATACATTTTTTATTTAAGCAGAATATAAGTAGGGTATTCGTTTTACGTTTGAAATTAGAAAAATTTAAATTTAGTTTGGTTTTATTATGAACTTTATTTTATTATTTATTTATATTATATTTCAGTAGTTTTATATTTTACTTGTAATATATTTCGGGGTATAATGTACCATTTAATTACAGCACATAAGATAGATTATCTGTGCATGTAAAGATGTTTAATCCGGGGATTAAAAAAGACGATTCAAGAGCATATAAGTTAACAATAGTTGACTGAGCTAGTCTTTTGAGCTGCCAAAACTGCAATCCTTGCAGTTCGATCGCGCATAATTCAAATGAACTGTATGACCGACATAACTTAATCCGTGGGTAGTCGCAACCACCCATAGTGAACTAGTGAACAATAATAACTTATATTATAAAATATCTCACCCGATATGTATTTTTTAAGAACTAAAATATTATTTTAAAACCTTTGGAATATAAGGAATGTTTGGAAATAATTTTATTAATATTAATACATAGGTAGTTCATGGTAATCTATTTTTGATATATATTTTTGCACAATATGTTAATTAATACATTATATTTCCATATATTTATATGAACTTTGTGAACATTAATTTAATATATGCATGTGTGTATAGGCATGTTTTCTTTCACAACAAAATTATTCACAAAAAAGATTTAGCATTGAGTTTATACCGGAACGAAATATAATTTTCTTTCTACTGCCACACACATTTGCAAATGAAGTAAATTAATTTATATTTGTATATACATGCACAAAAGATACTGTTAACAATTCATTTACACGCGTTAGTTTAAGCGAAATATTTCAGTCGAACAAAACAAATGTGATTTATTTTAAACGAAGAAATTATTTGTAAAACTCACACGAGGGACAGCAACAACCCAAAAAACAACAATAATATGATTATGTGATTTAGAAAATGGGTATGTAGTTGTCGATTTTCGCACGATGCTTCTGAGCAACACACTCAGAGATCCACACAATATTGCGGCACTCCTGTTCCTTCAACTTTAAGTAGGCATAGAATACACCAAAGTGGAACTGTTGCATAAAAGCGTAAACATTGAGTTTAACTTCATGCTCGAAGAATTTATCTTCAAGTGTCTTATCACCAGGATTGGTGCCAGAACCGTCAAAGAGTGCAGCATATTCGGCATAATACTCAGCTACCGTCTTCACCTGTTCGTAGTCATCAGCGCGTGCCAAAGCCGCCAAACCATCTGGGTGCATGTTGCCACAACGGGGATACAACTTGGCACGGTCATCTTTGGATAATTCAGTACCGAAAGAGTTTATAGTAATGATAATTGCACGGCGATCGGCTTCAAACTATAACAATAAACAAATTGTAGTTTAACACTTTATATAAAAAAAATATATATATCAAAAGCTTACAGCTAAGATTTCGCACATAACGTCGGCGGTAGAGCCACCCAACTTCTTGCAGAATTCATAGAAAGCCTCCAAGTACGCTTTGTACAAGGTGTTGCGAATAATTTCGATGTTCATTTCATCCAAATCCTGTTCGGAAATACAATCAACAAAGAATGGCGCCAATGGTGTATCAACCAATACAGCGTTGTACAGCTCAGCTGGTGTGGCAGCAACATGAATTGCCTCCATTTGTTCAAAACTACCCAATGGATGACATTTGGGAATCAATTCGGAAATTGGACGCTGATGAAGTGTACCAGTAATGAGCAAAATGATGTTATCAATCATATAGCCATAAGTTATGAAGTCCAAGAAGCTGGCCAATGGCTCTACAGCATGATTACGGAGATGCTGGAATTCAATGACAAGTTTCTCGCGTAGTTTGTCATCAATGACCGAAACGGAAAGTGGTGATGGCTCATTGGCCAAGAAACTGCCATAGTCGGTGCTTTGAAGATGTAATTTCAAATCTACAAACAAAATAAGAATATTGAAAATCAATTTTTTCGATAAATAAAAATAAATCACAAGACAGCTCCCATGAGTTTGACATTTCATTACATTGCAAACGCCCCACCGTTCTCTTCAACTAGTATTTATTCACTTTGCAATGCACGCACGCACACACTTACGCATGAAACTTTAATAGTGTGTCACATGACCAATACCACCCCCTTACAACTGCTATTCTATGCCGAGGAATATCAAAACTCAATGTCGTAGATTTCATGTATTCTTACATACTTTCAGTTTTCAGTTGCACTTACCTTCCAAAGTTTCACATTGGACCAGATTTAGGTAGTCCGACTGCTTCAGTATGCCACACTTGAAACCACGGCACAAACCTTCCAAGTAGCCACCATCAATATTGAAATAACAACCTTCACTCATTTTTCTGCTTTCTTTGTTCCGCTAGTTGACTTACAGGAGATTAGATTTTACAACTAATAAGATATTTGCAAGTTGGTTGAACTTGAGTTCGACTAACACCTGAAGTTGCTGTGTGTGGCACGCAAAAAGACTACGAAATGGCAAAAAATTTACTAAAAGAAATTACTTTTTCTGTATATTTTCCAGCAATCGCTTTATCGACTACCACCACTCTGACAAAATGTCATAAGTCATCACATGACTGTCATCGGCAGTTAACGAAAGAAAATTATATTTCGTTCAGTTCAATTCAGTGTTGCAATAATTGAACAAAAAAAAAATTAAGCAAAATGTATATATATATATATATATATATAAGTACATATTATTTTAATTTCAATAAAATGAAATATAACAATTTTTTATAATTATTGTTCCAATTTATCATGCGTTGAAAAGTTGCCCTGTAAGCTAACGGTTATTTCACCGGTAATTTACCACAGACTTCTGTTCAAGTTTCTTGAGACCTAATTTGCAATTCTATCCGAAACTCTTGTCTACGTATGAACGTTCATCTCTTTCTTACGCACAGACCTTATGAGTTGCACGGTGAGATGAGTTAGTTTCATTTGAATAATTTGGTGGACAAACTCTAGCTGAGCGATCGTGCCAAACGTGGTTAGCACGATTTAAAAGTGGTAATTTTAGCTTGGAAGACGAAGCACATCCTAGGCGACCAAAAAAATTTGAAGGTGTGTAGCTGGAAATATTACTCGATGAAGATTTTTAATCATAAGATAAGCCCGCTTAAGCCTTGGGAGTAACTCAAGCAGCCATTTCAAAACGTGTAAAAGACAAAAAGTTGACGACAAAAACTTACAATATCTTTTGAATGAGAATAATATATAACGTATCCTTTATTTATCTATTTAAAACCCATCAGCATCATTTGATACCTGGAGAATATTTAATTAACATACATTTGTATATTATAATATAAATCTTAAATATTATTGATATTTATTACATATTTTCTATATTTGTGAATGTTTGGATTACTATAAATATGATTTTTCTTTTATAAATAGTTTGACTATAAATTTATTTGATCTTTAGTTCCCAGATATATTTTATTTTTAGATATTTTTTTATTCATATATTTGAATCTAAAATTTAAAATAGCTTATAAATGTTTATTATAAATATTATAATGCGAGCATTCACAAGTATTAAATATGCAAATATGTTTCTCCATAAATATGTATGCTCAGCCAAAATATTTTGCTTTTTATTTTGTAGGTATTTTTTATATGTAGTTCTTAATTGAGTTGCTTACATTGCGTTATTTGTGTTAAAATAAGTGTTTATGATTTATAAATAAGTAATTTAAATTTAAAAAAACAATTGCGATTTTAAACGTATTTTTTTTTTATTCAAAGACATTTAATTAATTTGAACATTTTTGTTTAACCCTCTATTTATGTCCAACCCTTGGTTCCTTTTAAAGAATACATTCGGTTGCACCGAAAATATAATACCCTTCACAAAGGCAAAAGATTTCATACAAGAACTTGATTTTGATCGATCAGCTTGTATGACAGCTACATATATGCTATAGTACTCCGATATCGGGGGTTCTGAGAAATGAGCAGCTTCTTGGGGAGATAAAACATGTGCAAAATTTCAGATCGATATCCCAAAAATTGACGGACTAGTTTGCGTATATACAGACAAAAAACGAACATGGTTAAATCAGAGAACTTAAAACAAGTTTTGTTAAATCGACTATATACTATATATATATATATATTAATAAGCTAAGTCGATTTAACAAAACTTGTTTTAAGTTCTCTGATTTAACCATGTTGTATATATATATATATATATATATATATATAATATATGTGTTATAGCGTCTCCGACATTTCCTTCAGGATGTTACACACTTCGTGCCAAATTTAATATCGCATGTTCGGGGTATAAATACGAAAATGGTGTTCATAGTATTGAGCTGGTAGGTTTAGAGTAAATATGAAAGTCATTGCTGTGCTGATTTTTATAATATATTATTTTATATCCAAACATATTGCTTTCTCGGGTTCTTGCCCTCAAAAAAATGTATGTGGTTTTTCAAAACATTGCTTTTTTTTCTTTAGTGAAGATACCTCATAAAGCGAGTGGGAAGCATAATGAAATCCATAACTTTAAATTTGTTTTTTTTTACGTTAAAATTCTTCAATCCTTGCTATACTAAGCAACATTACCGTCATTGTCTCAATGGTGTTCTGAAAAATATTTTCATTTAGAAGAACCTTTCACGTCCATATAAACTTGTGTGCGTGTTTGCCTTCAAAATGACAACAAGTATGTTGGTCTTTTTCAACTTATACTTACTTTGTTTAAACATTTTGTTATAATATTTTAAAACATTATTGAACTATATATTTTAAGTATTTCTAAAAACTTTAGATGTACGCGTTGCGCAAATCGGCAGTGTTAGAAACTAGATATTAGAATTATTTTTTTGTCATACTCAAATAATATTAGCTATATTAAACAATTAGTGTTAAAACATTATGGTTTCCAGTAAGTATTATATAGTATTTGTGGGCATAATTGCTGTACTTATTATTTAATTGATAATTAATGTTTATTATTATTACGCTTGTTTGGGTAATCGTTGCGTTTTATTTGATTTAAATAAATATTTAGGCGTATATAAATGTTACACATAATGCACAAGTGGGCCCAAACAAGTTTGACTATTTAATTTGCTGAAAATACTTACTCGTGTGTTCTTAAGAAAGGTAATATTTATTTATTTGACAAGTTAATTGTCAGTTGATTTGCTACGCCTTATATCACAGCTTAGCATTTCAAACACTTTAAGCGGCCACATTAATTATTTTATTGATTTATTTATTTTTCTTAATGTGAAAAAGTTAATATATATGTATATATAGCTAGCAGAAATACATAATTATGTTTGTATATATTTCGCATTCACAGACCGCTATTATTATTATCGATATATACTTTAGTGTGTATGTATTAGTTTTATTTTATAAATTGTTTGCGTACTTTCTTGTCGATGGGTTATGCGGGTGCAAGGGTGCAGGTGAATTTATTGATTTCTTGTATTTATTCAGTTTTGAGTCTAAAGGTTTCGTATTCAACGCTTTAAGCTTTTAATTTTGTAATCGAATTTTTGAATTAAAACATTTTGAAATAAAAATTAGATTTTGTTAAATCTATTTTGGGATTAAAAAATATTTTAAGAGTTTTTTAATTAAAAATTATGAATTAAAAAATTATATTTATATTTATAATTTTTAATTCTAAAATTAGAATTAAGTTATTTTTAGTTTTAAGTTAGAATTAAGTTATTCTAATTTTAGAATTAAAAATTAAATTGAGGATTATTTAATTAAATATTATATAAAATTTTTTGATTCTTATTAAAAATTTAAATTTAAACTTTTAACCATAACCATATTGGATGCCGCGTCAGTAAAATACCTATATCTTCGAAATTAATTTGAAATTTGAAAAATCCGCTAGTCATATGCTTGAATAGTTAAACTCTAAAAAAAAAAATAAAAAATCGATTTCGTTTTTATTTCTAGACTTGAACTAATAAAAAAAATTGAAAATTTAATTTTTAATCCTAAACATCTTGGATTAAAAATTGAGAAACTAAATTTTAAAATTAAAAATTGAAGTAGCAAATATTTCTAACTAAAACACTATAATTAAAACAATTCAATATATTATATGTAAATAAGACAAAAGGAGCTAAACTATGTTGATATGTTATTAAAAATCTGCCTTGCTTTTAAAAAGAAAACCAAAATGGTAGAGCACGAAGTACACAAACGCAAAAATTTGTAAATTAAAAAAATGTCTTAAAAATTCTTCTTTTTAGTTTTCAATCCGACATTTGAGATTATAAATTTCAAAATTATTTGGTTAGATTAGTCTGATAGGTTAATGGGCCACGCATAAATAAATAATTCAAATGTTAATTAAATTATTTTTTAATGCATTATTTGCAGCCCTGGCTGTAACTGAAATTTTATGTTGACTTTTGACATTTTTAAGTAAAATATTGGTCAAAAACCGTAGTCTAGAAATATTAAAAGAGTCTGAAGAACAAAACAATGGTACAAAATTGTTTCTTGTAAAATCTTGTAAAAAAATAAATGCATTACACTTGAAATAACTGATTATTAAATTGAGTTAATTATCTTTATTAAAATGTAGTTATTATATACCACAATGTCATGTACTATGCAACACACTCGTACATTTACAAATATACAAATAATCATCGTGACACTAATATATAAAACCAATTTAAAAAATGATCCCATAAATTAACCAATTTATATTATAACTGATTGGAATTACGCATATTTTAAATTAAAACAAATTTTTCGGTTTTTATTTTTTAGTGTTTTATTATTAAAGATTTCATTATTCATTGCAGTACCTATATGTCAATTTTATATATGTATATTTATGTAATATAATAATGATTATAAATTTAACATTTAATTAATTAATTAGTTTAAGTGTGGATAGAACGGAATCTAATTGAATCACTGGATGGGTTGATGACAAGGAAATTAAAAAACAAAAAATAATTAAAGGTTCTACTTCTCTTTAATTACACTTACGCGTACATATTTAAAAATTAAAAATTTTATTTATAAAAATTTATATAAATTTTTTTGTAATTTTGTTTTTTTCATATTGTACGTGTAAAATTTTTATTTGTAAAAAAATCGAACTATTTTTTTTATTAAATTATTTATCTCACAGTGCAATCAGCTGTTGTGTATACACGTGTGCTAGCACCAGTTGAGCACAGTGCCTATTAAAAGTTTGCTGACCAAATCTATTTCATACCTTAGCTTGTAGTATATATGAGAATTGAGTTGCTACTTATTGCTGCTTGATTTTAACGGTAAAAAGTTTGTTGCATTTACGTTTATTTGTATTTCAAGCAGCTTTTTACAAATTTTCTAGCAAGCTTAATCTATTTTTTCTCTCTTTTGATTTAAAAAAAAATAAAATCAAATATTTTACATGTACTTATATGTATTTATATTAAGATAAAAAATGCATTTCTTCTTTAAGTGATTACAAACTATGGACGTGTTAAAAAACGAAAATTAATTATAAATATTGTTAATTTAAATCTAAATTGCATCAACCTTTTTTCCTTACAGCAAAATATCATTTGTTAAATTAATATTTATGTAAAAACACATATATATTTTATGTTTATTGATTGAATTGTGTTTGCTTAGATAAGTGCCATAAGGACAGCAGCAATACAAGACTGCTGTAATTAATTAGGAAAATTAAAAATATATTATATAATAAAAAAAAAAAACGATTGAAAAGAAGTGTATTTTGGATATTAATATTACTCAAAGTTGTAAATTTACTATTGTATACGTTTTTTTTTTTAATATTTTACGTCAATGCCAGTTATATTTTATTAAAATTAGTAGTTATACACACTTACAGAAAATTAGAATATTGAGTCCTTTTAAATTTACTGACGAAGAGCGCTTTATGGGCGTGTAAATTTTCCTTAAATATTTAGTTATAGCATATTTTTGGGCGCATTACAGGTTATTTGACATAAAACTGAATTTAAGTAGTATCGGAAGTTAAAGAAGTTTAGTGTACATTTATTTGTTATTATATTTTTCTGCAAACTATTTTCACAACTATCAAGAAATCAAGCAACCAAAAGCTAAATTACGCTTTAACTAAATTTATTTACTTGTGTACAGCAATTCGATATTTAATTTACAAATTTGTGTTTGTATATATATATTTTTTTCTTTACGATGTGTAAAATGTAATACTTTTACGCTAATGAAAACTGTTTTAGATACACGTACATCTATGGTATATATAGATTTTAGCATAAATTACTGTTCCGTATATGTTTTTGTTTAATAATACAAACACTGGCAGCGCAAATGATATTCACAACAACAATAAGCTTTTGCGAACTGTGTTCATTTTGATAACTAGTAAAATTCACTTACTGTTTTGTTTTGAATTTAAATGACGTAAGTGGTAGTTAAAAATATTTTGAAATATGTGGAAATTCGCATATTTTCCATTCACAGAGCATATTTCTTAGAATTTGTTTTATTTTTTTATATATTATTTTCATATTTTTACCATACACACATTGAGATTCGTTTAATTTGTATGTAACAGTTCACACGCACGTACATACTGGTTTATATTACATCTAAAGGCTTTGCGTAAATTAAAATGGAAATCATTTTAATTTTCCCCAATATTTGTATTTTTTTGTTTTGTGTAAGCTCAACATATAAGGCTTGCCAAAGTAATTTAATTTATTACAACGCAACTCAAATAAACTTTTTTTTTTATAATGCAATATTTAATTATTTGGCTTGAAATTAAATATTCAGAGGGTCTTTATACGCATTATTGAAGCGTGTTTAAAATATATTTTTGCACTTGCGCAAATTACTCGAACTTAAAAACGTTTCATAGTATTTTGTTTAATCTACAGCTGCTATTATATTAATAACAACAATCTAACGCAAACATTGGCTTAAACAAGCTACAATTACCAATACATTTAATAATAAATAGTACATTTGATTTATTATGGTGTGGGTATATTATTATTATTATTATTCTTTTTTTTAGTAAATAAATGCTAATGTTGCTTTCACCGCTTACATATAATGCTTGTAGTGCTGCATTAAAAAATAAATAAATATATATATTGAATGTACTTATATTTGAGAATATTCTTTGAAAATTTGAAGTTAATAAGACAAATATTTTCGAAGATATGTAATCGGATCCCAAAATTTTAGACGACTTTTCTCCGAAACGCTGCTTTCAGAGCCGGTTAGAAAAAAATGTTTCTGAAACGGCTGGACCGAACGACATGGAATTTCCATACGACCTTCTTGGATATAATCATCGAAGGAATAAGATTTTATTTTAAAAAATAATTTCAATAAGCCACTCTGAAGTATAAATTTATTCACAAAAAATACTTTTTTAAGCTGAAAAATCTTTCTCACCGCCAAACACTTTTTTGGAGGTGCTTCTGGAGCATGGCTATGGGATCAAGAGCATCCAAAATGTTTCAAAATGAATTGCCGATTGTTAAAAGACATTGAATTCTGTACATGTACATTCGGTTTAATGATTTCTTGAAATAATTATTTTTATTTATTTATTTATTTAACTTTAAAAAATAAATCACCCCCTTAAAAAACTGATTACAATTGATATTTGTGAAATAGAAAAAATTGTTATTTTCATTAAATTGTCTGAAAGGTGGAAATAGTATGTAATATATTTATTTTGTATTTAGATCAAAATATAAAAAAAATTATATTTTATAAAATGATCTCTGACATTGTTTTTTTTTATCTAGGAGTTTTAAATACAAATTTGAATATAAACAATCTGTTGTATTTTTGAGTTTCTATATCGCTTTAACACATTCATAATAGTAATAAAACAAAATATCGATAATAATATGCATTACTCGCATGAATTTGTTAAATTATTTTTACTTCTTTTATATAAATCTGAATGTACATATATTTTTATACATAATAGGTAAAACATACACATTAGCACATAAATTTATTCGAAGACGACAAATGCAGCACTACAATCTGCATATGTATGTACATATATAATATTATTCATTTTAGGCGAAGCAAAATTAAATTTGAACTCTTGCTTTGCAAATGCCACTCAGTTGCTGAGTAAAGAAATTTATTTTTACTCAGCATAAAAAGCAGTTACTGGATTTATTCTTATTACTTGCATTAAAAATCTTATATTTTTCTTCCTTCCTTCCCTTCGATTATGGTATTTTAATTTTCCACTTTCTACATTTTCCGACAGTAAACAATCGTAAAAATTTCACTTAAGACAATTCACAAACCGCCACTCATCGTTATTCCTATTACAAACATATAGTGAAATGAATATTTGATAAATTTTCATTGCTTATCAAAGTCATTTCACTTTTTAACTCGCTTACCTAATTGAAATCGCTACAAATTAAACCTCTCTAGCCTCGTCGCGCATTAAAATTTCGCTGCTCGTCCGACCTACAATTTCATTGACTTGCACTTTGGTTACTACCGTTATGCCTTTACGGTTGCGGCTGTTGCTCCTAAACATAGGTGGCCACTGCAGGGGTATTGGAGGAAGTGGCGGCCTGTGTGGGTGCTGGCGGCGCGGTTGGCGACTGATGCGCTGCTGGCGTGTTATTTATGGGTTGTGGACTGACGGGTGGTTGCAGCTTACCCGGCACATATTGACCAATGAAGGAACCATCCTCGGTGAATTGAGCTGCAAGGTGAGATGAAGGAAATGGTGTTAGTTAATTTATATGCATGTGTGTGTGAGTGTTGGTAATGAATTGGTTAATATAAAAAGGTTGAAAGTGGGGAAGTTGTGTTGTTAAGCCTTGAACCGGTGAAAATCTGTTGTCCAGGACCAAGAAAAGGAGATGACAGAAATTAGTTTGCGATCTTTGCATTGCCACGGTGATTTTGTGTTTGTTAATATTTTTTTTATTTTATTATATTTTTAAATAATTATTGGTGGTTGTAAGAATGGGTTTTGTTTATTTCGAATTTAACAAAATCAGAAAAATTAAATATTACTGAAGAAAATGCATCTATAATATAATTAAAAACTAAAAATCAAAAAATTAAAACAATTAAAAATAAAAATAATATGGTAATTAACAAATATATAAAAAAAATTTAAGAAAATAAATAAAACAAAATGACTAAGATAAACAGTTAAATAAAAAAAAGCAAAAAGTAAAAAACATTAAAATGTAAATATATAACCAATTATTAAAAATATACTCAAAATCATGCCATGCAAATTTTCGAATCTATTCTAATTTACAATAAAATCTATGAAATTAAAACGCTTACCTTATTTACGTATTTATGTTCATTTACAACATTAACACGAAAGTGCGAAATTATTTTAGCGGTACGAAATCAAAATTAATATGTTGCTAAAAAAAATGGAAATTCGAAAATAATTTTCGGAATAGTTTTAATTGTCCGAAATAGTGAAAATTGTCAAAAATCTTTAAATTTTTCATTGAAATATAAACTGAAACATTAGAAACCTTATCTTAATTATATTAATTAACGGTGTGAATATTCAATAATTTCAAAAAATATAAGCCTGCAGATACCTTGAAACTCTAACCTCCAAAAATTCATACATTTTTTTTTAACTTAGTGTAATCGGCTCCCACTCCCGAGACGAATCCCAAATCAGAGCAATCAGAACGGCTGGACCGATCGACTCACACGACCCTCATAAATGTGTTTTTCAGGTAATGATCGAAGAAATAAGATTGTTGATAATAATTTCGATTTTTTAAGTCACTCTGTATCGTAAATTTTTTTTACAAAAACAAAAATAAAACCAAATTTTTTGGGAAGCCGCCATTTTGTCAAAAATCAGAATTTGACTAGCCCTTTGATCATTATCAGTATTCGTTTATTCTTATAATAATTTTGTCTTTTAGTTTTTGGGTTTGAAATAAGCCAACCAATCTTTTAAACCGAATGTTCACATTACTATTAGGTTTTTTTTGGTTGGCTGTACGTATTTTACTGTTGTATAATATTCTTTCCAACGAAATTAAAAAAAAAAATGAAATGTTATTATTGTTTTATTTTATCTATGATATATTTGTGAGTATCAATTTTGATACTTCAGGCATTCCGCCCTACATAAAACCTACCTACTAATTCTTTATCTATAAAAACTTTTTGAACTTCCGATTCATTATTTTTCTGCATAGCTTGTGTTGGGATTACTTTTATTTTTATTTTATTATAGAAATTTATCAAAAATGCGACCAGAAGAGTGATTTATCGAAAAATCTACCTCACCGCCTTCTTTACGGAAGTTCTCCTGAAGATCGGCTACGAGATCATGCCAATCCAAAATTATTCAAAATGATTTGCCGATTATGAAATTACATTAAATTTTGTAAATGTGCATTATTTTTATTTATTTATTTATTGAACAAAGGGCCTGTTAAAAAAAATTCACTGTGCAAGTGGAAATAATCCCTCAATTAAAAATCATAACACTGACAGATAGCAGAGCAATAAACAAAACTAAACTTAGGTACGTATATATCTAATTTTATACGTATAATTTAAGGTTATGTAAGCGGTAATTCTTGTCTATTTTACCATTGGCTTTTTTCTAAAGGTAATTTGGTCTAGTATATATCTTGTAACAAAAAAAAGTGTGTTGTGTGTTGTTTTTCCATGTGTTACACATTTTCGTTTTAATTTATTTATTATTAAATTCATTCATTTTAAGTGTTTTGTTTAATACGAAAATGATAGGTACACAAATAGCTTATTTTAAAAAAAATTTCTTTTACTCCTCTTATTGTTGTTGTTTAATTTACATTATCATTACAAAACGATTCGATTGTTTGTTTTCTTCTTTAACTTTAACACTAATGCTAAAAATTACGCATTAAAACACTAACTTTATATATAAAAGAGAGAGAGTAAAAAAATATAAATGAAAAGAGTACACAGATATGTTAACTAAATACTAAACACAGGAAAAAAATTTAATTTAAATCAACGCTTACGACATTTTTATAAAAAAAAGAAAAAAAAAAAACATAAAAATAAATTAAAAATATTGTTGTACGGTATAAAAGCAAATATAAGATTTTACAAATAATTTTTTTATAAAACACACTTTAAACTACATGTAGTTAAAAAAATACAAGAGAGAGTTTCCAATATGTCTACGCGTAGGCGCACACAGCATTTTTCACTCGGTGCTGCATTCATTGTCATCCGGTTATGCGCGTTTATGTGGCTATGTGGGCGTGTGTGGATGAGTTTATTATTTATTTATTTATTTATATATATATATATATATATGTATACTTATTGCCATAAAATTAAATAACGGTTTCGCGTCTGCATTTCAGTAGTTTAGTTTGTTTTAGTATAATACAAAAAATATCTGTTTCGGTTTATTTCATATCTCGTGCTTAATTTGATGAGAGAGATTCAGAGCTGCATCGTTTTGATTTGAAAAAAATCTAATTCTTATTACTTTTATGTTTCGCTACTAGCTGAGTTCTGTTTGGCAGTAATCAAAACTTGTTGTTGTTGCTGTTGGTTGCTAAATTTGCGGTCGTAGCCGTGAATGCTGCTGGCGCTCTTTATGTCATATGGTTGTGTCGACGATGGTTGCGAATACATAAATGGTTTAAACTTAAACTGATTGAAATCAAAGTCCTTTACGTCCATATTGCCCAATAAAAGAGCCGTCTTCGTTTAAGCCTACGCATAGCATAACACAAGTGCAAGTATTTACATATTTGTAATTGTGAATGTATATGCGTTGTTGTTGGTGGTCGGTTGGTTTGTTGGTGATTTACAATAAAAGTAAAAGAAAGGTATGACAACGAAAAAAATATATATTTAATAAACGGAAAAGGAAATTAACAAAATATGCAATACATAAAAGAATAAATATGTATGTACGTAACATATATTAGGGAGTCTGTTATTTTTCAAGTTTTTTTTTTTTGCAAACGCCAGGTTAAGTTTTTGCCCTAAAAAAATTATTCAACGTAAAGAAGCTATTTTCAATTTAAACTGTGTCTACAAGTAAGTTATGTTTTTGTCCATGTATATAACATGGGATTTTGTAGTATTTGCATTAAACATGTAAACCTCTTTTTTAATACAAAATTGTCCGCTCTATAAAAAAGGTCTTGTTGATTTTTTGCATATAAACATTTCTTTAGAAACCATTTGATGTCAAAATTATGCAGCAAAGTTACTGTATTCCTACAGTACACCATGTTGTATGAGCAACACAAAATTTATAAGGCACTTGTATGAATACCAACACATTTGATGCATAATTTTAACTGTATATAATGATAACTGTATAATATGAAAAAAGAATTAAGATATTTTTTATAGAGCAGAAAATTTTGATAAAAAAAACTTTTTGGAAAATGTCGAAAATTCTCATATAAAATATATGGAAAATACAAAGCTTGTTAACATTGGATGCTTTTTTTGGGCAAAAACTGAAACTTCGGGTGGCGAGCACTTGGGAAATAATGGACACCCTAATGTACATAGGTACATATATACATATATAGAAATAAATTTGTATATACAGATATTATAAAGTGAACGAAACAAAAACATAAAACACAACGTGTCAATAACAATAATGTAACAATAAGTTGATTTTGGTTTAATTTGTTGTTATTATTGAGGTGAGAGCGCACAAACAAACTGTTATAAATGGTGTAAAGAAACGTAATGTGAGGCGCCGCATAATGCGAGCATAATGACAGAAAGGCATACATACATACATTTATGTATATTCACATATGCATACACATAGCTATATAAATGGATCGCCCTGAATGAATATAGTAAGTATATATACGAGTATGTATACATATTGTATTTTGAATATGATATGCAGCTGCGAAGCGCTAAACCGTTTAAACAGCGTGGAACGTAATGTATATGTTGTCCAATATTTATTTATATCATTTGATTTTTTTAATTACCGTCAGACATAGGTTTTGCGGTCAATAATTTATGGTTTAAAATTGCATTTAAATTTTCAGTTTATTTTTATTTCTCTGCATATGATAATGAAAATGAGCTGCTTACATTAAATATATAAAAATTAATGTGAATTTAAAGGCCAATGCAACCGCTTGTCATCAATGAAATGAATTAAATGATAGTTGCAATTACAAAGGCGGCAAGTAAAAGTTTAATTTACGAAAATTGACGGCGCAATATAATGTTTTTCAAGTATACTGTTATAGCTACAGTTTAAAAGTATCGTATATTTTATATGAATTAATAAATTTGAGCCTTTATGAATAACTGGGGTCGGTTAAGGGTTTATTTCCACTTGTGAATTAAAAAATCGATTTGTTTATTTGAGAATATTCTTCGAAAGAAATAGTTGCCGAATTATGAGCGTATTTGTAAAAAAAAAATTTTATTTGTGTAATCAGCTCCCAAAACTTTAAGTACCTTTTTTATCGAAACGGCTGGACCGATCGACTTAAAAGTTTCAAACGACTTTCTGCATATATTTGTTAAGTAATCAACTAAGGAATAAGATTTTTAATAATAATTTCGGTTTTTAAGCCATTTTCAAATATGCCAATTTTTTTTTGGAAAGCCAGCAAACGAGGCTAATTCGAACATCAAAATATGTACATTTTATTTTTCGAATATTAATATTGCAAAGTTTTTTTTTTTTGTTTTTTTTGAAATCCATATTTTTCTAAAGTATAAAAAATAAGATCGGGTTTTTAAATCTAGTAGTAACAATTCACAATGTGAGCAACAAGCAACAAATTAACTTTAACAAAACATAATCGACAAACCACAATTGGCATAATATAACACAAACGATATTATGAAAAATACAGCAACTGATTTACAATTAAAAATATAATTATTTCTTTTTTCTGAAGAAAAAGATTTGGAGGAGGGTTGAATATATAAGCATAACATTGCAAAATAACCCACATGAGCCATAGGAAAGGTAATTTGAAACTTGTGAAAGCCCTGTACTAATATTATATAATATAATATATGTGAGTATTTGCCAATTTTTAATTTTTACAGTTATTACGCCATATTTTGCAAAATTACTGTTAGAAAGGCATTTTTGTCGCAAAAGATTATGAATTTTTTATAAATGCAGGTAATATTTTCATAATTTCATATTAATGAAATTTCAGGATCTAGATATACTTTTAAACCCCTATCAAAAATTTAGAAGAAAAATAAGTATTTGGTATAAGCAATTTTGACTAAAATTTTTCTTTTCGAAAATTATGACGAAAATGGTTATTATTTGCATTAAAAAATTTGAAATTAGCAAGATAAGTAATCACCAGGTTGTTGCCAAATTTTCATAAGGAACGAAATTGTGTTAAACCTTTTTATGCTTTTTTGACAAATCAAAAACAGTTTTTGATGCACCTGATGTCTGCGTGAAATTTGTTTTTTTCTTAATTTTTCTTATGTATATTATCTGAATTTTTAGTTCGAAGCATTAATATGCGAAATTAATTAGCTAGCCAAAAACTTTTATGACGCCAAAATGTTAGCAACAATCAAAAATTTATATTTTAAAGAATTAATGGTTTAATAAAAATGTGATAAAAAAATGTTCTTTCAAATGAACACAAGGTTTTATAAAATATGCGAAAAATGTGAATTTTATGAACAAAACTCAACCGAAAAATAGATAAATAATATAAACTTCATGCATTAGAGTAAACCTTATGTCGGAGAAAAACAAAAAATAGTTATTTTTACCTTTACATAATGTCAAAAGAATTTACTAGATTTGTAATTTCTATTGTAATAAGAGTTTCATGGCTAATGTTTAAGTTTGTTTGCGGCTGCGTTGGCAGCCTCGTCTTGTAGTTCGTGCAGAGTTGGTAAATTATTTGCTACGCCTCTAACTACAGCTGCTGTTGCGCTCATTTTCAAAATCACACGCATTTTATACAAGTTGGAGAGAACAATCAATACAAATACATATAAATAAAATAAAATAACAAAAATTATATGGAATAAAAAAAAATTAAGTATTTTTTTAGTACTTAGAGGCTAATTGACGATCATACATGTACATAGTGGCAGATATACACATATGTATATGTATATTTGTACACATGCATTTTTATATGGTATGTATGTTTAAACACGTTAAAACTACAATATCTTGGCTTTATTTGATGTGAAATATTTTTATTCGTTTTTCTTTTGTTCATTTCAACTGACCTGTATCACCATCTCCATATTCGGCCATCGAGTCGGTGTCGCTCTCCACACCAGGCTGCTTCGCCGAATGAGCCGATTGCTGTCCAGCGCTCTTATTATCCAATCTGAATGATAAGACGATTTCTTATTTCATAAAATTCTTGCATTGTTGCGAAATTGTATACAACTTACGGTTGTGAGTATTCATGGAATCCGCCTTCATCCGGATAGTCGCGACGTCCATTCGCCAATTCGCGATCATGCACATCGTATTTGCCACCACGATTGCGTCGTATGATACAAATAATAATAAACAGTAGAATGATGAAGGCCAGCGCCAGCATCATGCCAATGAACCAGCCAGCATTCGCCACATTCTGATTGGGCACTTTGGTGGGGCCATCTATGACGATTTCACGCAATTCGCTGGGCGTTTCATGATCACCATCGACAGATACAACACGGAATTCATACACATTATCTGGATTGAGACCACCAATTTCTTGGTAATCTTTAGAGAATTCGGGTTTTTCTGTTTTGAAGTTTGGCTCGCCTTTAATTCTGCGTTGGAGAAAGATAAATACGCAACATTAAAGTGTCTTTAGTTTATCAACATTTATTTATGATGGAAATGAACTTTTTTGGGTTAACAATATGAAATCTGATATTGCGATAAATTTATGAAATATAATTGCCAAATAGTCAGAGCTGACTAAAGAGGGCAATGGAATCGATGGCATGTGTTCAAAAGTAAACGACTACCTCTCCGATCTTTCTCGCTTCTTTTCTGCAAGGAACCTAACACTCTCCCCCACTAAATCCACAGCGACCATCTTCACCAATTGGACGAAGGAGTACAGACTGGACCTGAACATTTCAGTCGATGGCACAAAAATTCCGACAGTAAATAACCCTAAAATTTTAGGCGTCACTTTGGACAGTCTGTGCTCTTTCACTTCTCATACGACCGCGATAACTGCCAAAGTACAGAGCCGCAACAAAATCCTCAAGTCGCTTGCCGGCAGCTCATGGGGAAAAGACAAAGAAACGTTGTTGGCAACATACAAGGCAATCGGCCGGCCGGTCCTCAATTATGCAGCCGCAATATGGTCGCCTGGATGCAGTGCCACGCAGACGAGAAAGCTTCAGACCTCTCAGAACACTGCACTCCGGACTGTCACAGGATGCCTCTTGATGTCTCCAATCGAACACCTATATAGCGAGGCCCGTATGCTTCCGGTTAAGGAACATAACGAGCTCCTCTCCAAGCAGGTTCTGCTGGGATGTTTTCGCAGAAACCACCCCTGCAGTCGCCTGCTTGTAGCAGAGCCGCCTCCTAGGATCATCAAGAGGTCCTTCCTTGACTATGTCGACGACATTAGACAGTACGCCGACCAGACTTCGGACGCAACTAACTTCAGACAGGCACTGACCGCCATTCACAGTGGAGCCATTAACACCTTCACCGACTCCCTCTCAGTGAATGGCGTAATACGAGTCAAACCACCACCCATTGCAGACACAGAGCTCGAGTTGCCTCGCGAATCTAGAGTGACCCTCGCGCAACTTCGTTCTGGATACTGTAGCAGGTTAAACTCCTACCTATCCAGAATAGACCCTGACATACCAAACACATGTCCTGCATGCAATGAGTCTCCGCATGACACTAATCACCCCTTTGCATGCCCAACAAACCCCACTCATCTAACACCCCTCTCCCTATGGTTCGACTCCGTCGAAACAGCTCGTTTCCTGGGCCTTCCGTTAGATGACCTCGACGACAACGAATCTAGAATTTATCACCCAAACGGGGATTAGATAAACATGTTACAACAACAACAGCTGACTAAAGAGCGCAATTGTACCCTGAACAGGGTAAGTTTGCCATGAAGGTTGTACCACCAAGAAGAAAACGTCGGAAACTCTTTCTTATATACCATATATGTATAAATGATCAGTGTAACGAGCTAAGTCCATTTAGCCATGACCATCTGTCTGTCTGTTTATACGCGAGCTGGTCCCTCTGATTTTTGATATTACGCTCTGAAACTTTGCATACGTGTCCTTTTCTCCCCAAAAGGCGGAGAAATCACCAATATCGAAGCACTATAGGACATAGCAGCTATACAAATTAATAGATCAAAATCAAGTCCTTGTAGGGAAAACTTTTTTATTTGTTAAGAAATCTTCACCATGTTTAGCATAGAGTATTATCCAAGACAACATGCAAACAAAGCGTTCAGATCGAACAACTATAGGATATAGGTGCCATTAAAACTGACCGGTGAAAATCAAGATAAAGATCTTTTATACCTTTTGCAAGAATATGAAATTAAATAACTCACCTGTATTGCGTGTAAAAATGTGTGCCGGCATGTCCTTCGGTACTTGGCTGCCAGTTAACACGATATTTTGCGTTATTATTCTCGGATTTCAATTGTTGTACGATGAATCCAGGTACAGCAGGCATCTGTGAGTCTTCTGGCAAAGTGCGTTTCTCAATGAAATGTCTGGAAAACAACAAAATTATAATTAATATACAATTTTTAGCTTAAAACATGTATATATGTATTTATGTATGTATGTTTCCATCAAACTCACTCTGATCCTTCGCCCATTTTCGTGGTTGCCGTTATTGAAATTCTATATTTCGTGTTTGCCTTCAAACCAGCTAATTTAGCGCTCGTTATCTGCGGATCATTAATATGCGGATCGAGTTCACGTCGCTCGCTTACATAGCTGCCCTTAACCTCTTCATAATAGATTTTGTAGCCAGTCAGTTTACCATTTGGTTGCAATGGTTTCTTCCAAACCAACCAGAAAGCGGATGAACCCAAGGGGTAAGCATCTAATGACTGCACTGGCGATGGCACACCTTCGGGTGTATCAAAGTCAATGACTACACTGGGTGGGCCATTGAAGCGTCCATTATAGGCAAGCACACGTGCAAAGTTCTTCGAATCGGGTTTGAATTGTGTCACGAGCGCCTGATCGGAGATGGCATCAACATGTATTTCGCGTAACGCTTCCTCACCCTCCTTCTCGGTCCATGTTTGAATCTTGTAACCCTTGAAGCGGCCACGTACCGATTCGGGACTAACGTGATTCCAACGTAACATGGCAGTGGTGGCAGCGGTTACTTGGACCATACTAAAGTTGGTAGGAGCTTCCAAAGGTCCTTTAAATCAAAGTATATATTATACATATGACCGAAATAAAATTATTAAACGCAGTTCATTCAAACCACTTTATACTTACGATCTTCACCCGAATAACCGATAACCTCTGTAGGCGCAACATTCGCTTCTCCATGTTTATTTATAGCTACCACTTTAATTTGGTAGGGTACATACGTTGGTTGATCTGGTATTACCAAATTGTTCTGCTGCCAATCATATATATCTTTACTCTCCCACGAGGCAGCTGGTATGTCACGTTTCCAAGAGACGCGGTAGTGGAAGTCTGGCGCGTTGTGATCAATCTCCGGCATTGGAGTCCAAGAAATTACCAAGTTATCTGGTTCAGTACCCATGCCTTGTACATTATCAGGATTCTTGTAGGGCACATCTGGCGGTGTGGTACAAAATTCACTGTGGTCCGATGGCGGTGATGGACCAATTTTGTTGAAGGCTTTCACACGGAAGGTATAGTTCGACCAAGGCGTTAAGTCAACCACGAAAGCGGTTTCTGTAGATGGTACTTTATCGTATGATATATCCCACGAATCAGGTGTGAACGAAGTGTTGAATTCGATGGTGTAATATAGAATTGGTGAGCGATTGTCACCCTGCGGTTCCCAAGTGACTCTAATCCTATTAGCCATGCACACGATGCCAACTAAACGCGGCGCATTGGGTACATCCTGTACAATGAGATTAGCTTTAGCCGATGCCTCGTCCAATTCGGTGCGTGCAACGCATGTGTACTCGCCAGAATCCAATTCAACGGTCTTTGGTATGGTTAGTGAATTGTCGTTGGTCTTCATAAAACGCGCCTCCGATTCGAAATCAATAGCTTGACCATCCTTCCACCACTCAATTACTAGATCTAGTTTTTCATCATGCTCTTCATTACAACGGAATGTCGCCGATTTGCCAGCAGCTACTTCGTAATTCTGCGGCTCATGAATAATGCTGGTGCGTTTCATTACCAATAATGTGCCATTTGCAGATATGCTGCCAAATTTATTGGTTGCGTAACACGTGTAGTCACCCTCATCGCTAAACGCAACTTCTTGGATCTCCAAGTCACCGGATGGCAAAGTGTTGTAGCGTCCACCAGTTAATTCTTGATGATTATGTATCCATTTCACTTGGGGTTTGGGCGCACCGAAGACACGACAACGTAATGTGACATTTTTACCATCGACAGTGGCTTCCTTCCGTGGTGCTTCCTGTATCTCTGGTGGCAATGCCAACACATTCAGGTACACATCCTTGTAGACATAGCCAAGCGAATTGGTTGCGTTACAACCATAGTTACCAGTATCGGCCTTAACGAGATCACGAATAATAATACGATTACTTTCTACCGTACGACGTGTATTGGATGGTGATTGTGCAATCGGTTTGCCATTGTGGATCCATTGAATTGTGGGTTCGGGATTACCAGCAGCTGCGCATTCGAATGTGACTTCCTCATCTTCGGCTGCATTTTGTACCTCTGGTTCTTTGGTGAAGTAAGGTGTGGCCAAAATCTTCAGATTGATCGAGTACGATTGTGCATTACCAACACCGTTTGAAACGTCACAAGTGTAGGAACCTTCATCCTCGAAGTTCGCCTGTCTGATGACCAACGACTTACCATAATGACCTTGCGTGATTCTATCACTCCACTCTATGAGCGCTCCATTTTTAGACCAAACCGTTTGAGGAAGTGGTGTACCACCGAAAATACAGTAAAGTTCGACACGTTTGCCACGCAATGCAACTTCGTTCTTACGCGTCACATATTGCCGTTTGGGTTGTTGTTTGTTCAGTGCAGCGCTGATGCCGGTCTGTTTCACATCCAATAAGACTTTATTGCCAATTTTGTACTCATTACGGAACACCGATGTAGCTGAACAGGCATAGAAGAAATCTTCCGAAGCATCTTCACGTGTCACATTGGAGAACCAGAGTGTTCCCTCGGGATCGAGTGTCATGCGTGAGTTGTTGATCGATTTAATGGTGCCTTCCAAAGAGTGTTGTATCAGCCAATTTACAATGGGTTTGGGCCAACCGTCGGGTGCTTCGCAACTAAGCGAGAAGGGTTCACCCTCATTTGTTTCGATTGTTTTCGCCACTTCATCTTTAAATGCATTCAATTCGGCTTTGCGCACAAACACTGAATTTGAGGTGGCTGTACCGAATTCGTTTTCAGCGAAACACTGGTATTGACCCATATCTTCATCCTTGGGTGATGTGATGACAAGTGTACCACGACCGGGTTGCTGCAACATGCGATTGTCGTATGCTTGCCAATCGAATTTCTTGCCGTTTTTGATCCATCGGTAACTGCAAGGACAAGATGAAAACAAAAATAAGTTAGGAGTGAGAGAGCGCAGTTAGTTTAAATTTTAAGAAAGTTGGTCTTATGATAATCAACTTTGGGTGCTTTGGTATGGGATTATGACTTCTTCAATATTAAATTTTACGAAGATGGTTCAATATACATATAATAATGTCATTAAATGAAACCTTTATTCTATAAAAATTATTTGGTAACGCTAGAATGCTCAATTAAATAATTGTTACTTAATTGCTAGCCAATTAGTATAAAATTTCTCATGAAAAACTGTGAAACTTGTTTAGATGAAGAGAAGGTTCTGAAAATTTCAAGTGCCATGAAGTTTGTAGCACGCAGAAGGAAACAATATACATATATATAAATTATATGCGTGACGAGCTGAACTGATTTAGCCATGTCCGTCTGTTTGTCTGTATGTTTTTGAGATATCGATCTCAAATTTTGTGTCCTTTTCTCCCCAAGAAACTGCTGATCAAAATCAAGTTCTTGTTTTAAACTAAAAGTTCTCTTTATATTAATTATGTAAGTTAAAATTTAGTATATATGAACAACGAAGCCTTTGTCACAATCTATAACTTAATTGCCTGAACTAATTGAACTAACATAACCTATTGACATAACATAATGTATCCTATTTCCTCCAAAGAAAGGGTAGAATATCATCTCGAAGAGTTTAATTCGGCAATGGTAACATTTTGACGAGACAAAATGGATAACCACCAATTAACTGTTGTGGAAGCATTCCCCTAGTCTTAATTGAGTGAGGTTCTAAAAATCATTTACACGTTAACTTAGAACCTTCATTAATTGTTGAGAATTATTTACGCTTTGCTAATTGATAATGTTGCAAGGACAAAGCACTTGGAAATGTAAACTATGTATACATGGAGCGGCCTTTAAGAATGTTTATACATATTTATTTGATGTGCGATTTATATTACATAGTTGTTTGAGCTAACGATTAAACCACATACAGTTGGAATGGAAAACAATATGACAACAAAAGGGCAGGTCGAAAAGGGTCACTAAAATGTCAAGAACACGCATGTGTAAAACTAAATTATGTAAGAAACACTATAGCACACACAACTATTTAAATAAGAATGTGTTTATTTGCGTAATTGACTTTTAGAATCATGCAAACTTTACGCAAATGCAATAAATGTCTTCCAAATTGACGGATGATTAGTAGAAGAGCTGCTTTCATTAGTACTATGAGGTGTTGTGTATCAATTTCTATGCTCGAGCAATTAGCTCACAAAAGTTTTTAGTCTTTGTGTAAAATCATGTTTGTGTAAAACCAAAACTTAGACTTATTTGAAAACAGAAATGAAACAATCGGTAGAAATAGATATCAATATATTTCGAAGTCCGCCCGGAAATATTGTATATGATTTCAAGTATCATTGTTTTGTTTTTGAAACTTTTTATGAATGATTGTACTTTTTGGTTAAATGTTCGTACCTTCTCTAAGAGTTTGCAAATTGTAATTTTGCCTCTCATTACGTGCTCATAACACCGCATAAGCTAGAATAGTTGTAACCACAAATTGCTCACTAAGCGTCAGCCGGCCAAAAAAGGTGTGGCAGCTAGTCATCACAGGCACTCACTCACACTGACGCATTCGCTTTTAATTAATTAATTTAAATGATGAATTGTGTTACATTAAGTAAATGCTTATGGCAGCATTAAGACAACATCATCGCGAGTGTTTCCTGCCTTTTCGTATAAATATTCGTTGTTGTTGTTGTTGCTAAATTTTGCATAACCATAAAAAGTTATGACAAGCCCAGAGAAATAAGTTTCCTTAATATTCGTACTAAGTGGACTACATTTGTATGTTTGTATGTACGTATTTATCCATGTCATACACAGCGGGCATGTTTTGCGGCCTTTTACATCTGTTTTGCTTTTCAGGTTTATTAAACCCCGTGACTTTTATATTGTAGTTTATCTTTTACATTTTCATTTTTATTTCTAGATTTTTTTATCATTTTTTTTACCCCGCAATTCTTTTTTCTTGCCATTGCAATTAATATAATAAGTAGAATATTTAGTCCATGCTCATTTGTCTGATTGCCTGCATGATTGCGCGCTTACTTTAATTCATTTTTTTCCTTTCCTCTTCAATCTGTCTGACGAGTCATTAATTTAGTCAAATAAGCTAGATTTATTTAAAGCCTCACTTGAACTCACATTAATTCTTTGATTGCCTGCGCCGACAAATCGACAACTTTTCCAGCGAATTCGAAGAGGGAGCGGAATGCGAAGAGAAAATGTTATAATTTTTAAATAGTTTTGTTGGCTCAACAGTTTTATGGACTTTATTTAAGATTTTTGACTCTTTTTTTTTGAAAAAATTAAGAATATAGCGATAATCTGAACCAGATAAAAACAAATCTAAATAGATGAGACTATATTCATTCAAGGCTGGATTTGATTAGTGACTTCCAGATGAGAATACCCTCTAAACGTAAATGAAGAAGAGGTTTAGTAGGGGAAGAGAATACAATCTACCGACGGGTCCATAATGGAATGCAGAGTATGGACGGGGGTATACTCCGAGAATCTTTATATCTCTCTTTCCATCCGTCTACCAAACCCAGTTAACATCTTCCATTCGGAAGTACTTGGTATAGAGGACTGCGGAGTTATACTGAATAACTACGGGAGGATACAGAAAGCTACCATATACCCAGATAGCCAAGCGACATTGCTAGCCTTGTCGTCGTGAAAGAAAAATTCCAGCGTGTTCAAAGGAAAGCTTTAAGCTCATTGCCAGTTTAACTCCACTTATCCACAATTTAAGTTTCCGATCACAGGAACATTTTCAGCAACGAAAAAGCTGGCGAGTTGGCCACCCTAGACGAATCTGATGCGAAGTCAATACCAGGCTGTCGAAAAGTGGTCGTACCAACTCAGAAACCTTCTTTGGCTCATGCACAACAATTTTGCTAAAGATCATCACTTGATCAAATGCATAGTTAACGATTCTATAAAGGACATACAGACAAACATTCATTTTTATATACATATACTATAACAGGATTTTAATTTGTGGAAGGCTACTGAAGCCAGTGTACTTTAAAACGCAGATGAAAATTCTAAGTTCAAATTTGTAGGAACCACTGCTCAAATCTTTACATAAATCGTACAATGAATGATTTTTTACAAATCCGAAAATCGTGAATTCGTATAGGCAACTGCTGTAGATCAGTTACATTTCTACATACTATAACAAGGGCTGATGGTAATCGATAATATACACAAAATGATGACAGCTTTGCAGACATTGCCTACAATAGGTTGGCGATATACAATCGTAATGTAAGTTTTGGTATACTGTTGTCGAAAGACAGTTATAATCGTGCAATTATAGATACGTGAGAGGGGTGTAAGTATATTTGAAATAGTGTACTTTCAATAAAGAGATTGATCTCACAATCTGGACAAGCTACACAAAACAAAAACAAGTTTATAACTAAATATGGAGTTTGTAGTGAATAGAATACCCTAGAAGATCGAAATAATATTTGATAACATTATATACAGACCTTGAATTGCATTGCTAACATTAAAAATGGAAAAAATACACTTGAAAAAAATAATTGAAAATCGATCTGTTGGCTAAATTTTTTTCTAATAGAAGTGATCTTTAACAGAAAGAGACAGTCCTCCCTGTGTGCTGCTGATATGAAAAGTGTATTAATAAAACTGAGCTGAAGTTGAAATTTTCTATTGTCTAAAAAATCGGGAAAGCTATTTGACATTTAGTATTAATGAGTTACCATAGTTTATATAACATACTATTTTAAATCGATATCTCAAATGGTTTTAGAGTTACAGCCTTCTAAGTTGTAACCGCTCAGTTCAATCAGCTTAATCAGTTTATCTCTAAACACGTTTTTCTCGAAACAATATTTTCCAAATTTGCTGCAATGAATATTCAGAGACAAATGATCTCATCACTATCAAATTTTTCCTACATGTTCTGTATATAGTTCTCCATACAATGGTTTCATCAAAAATAGAATTTCGGCACTCCAAAAACGGCCAAAATTTGGGGAAAATAAAAAAGCTTTGTTTATTTTTAAACGACGCCATTTGTAAATTTTTGATTTTTTTCGACCATAGGTCATTGTACGGACAATATCTGCTAGTAAGAATTTTTTTAGATTTTTTAGCGCCGTTGGAGATCAGGGATAACTCGTAAAAATATATAACTTATAGGTGTGACGCTTAAAATAAATTTTTTTACTATGTACTTAAAACATTACTTTTTACTAAAAAAATAAAACATATTTATACGTTTACCATAACTTAATGTCCAAAGGTATATCTACTAAATGTAGCACATTGTACTAGTTATGCTTCGTCATAGTGGCCAAAACAAGCGAGCGAACAACGACAATGCAGTAAGCATACAAATATAACAATTTATGCACAACAGCGTCCATTAAAATGCAAATGAAGATTTTAACACCAATTTGAACATTACTTTAATGCCATTAAGTCCTATATAGCTGCATGTTTATATAGCACATGTACTCTTAAAGGAAAGGCTAAAGAGGTTACAGTGATAGAGAATGCGGGCCACAACACACTAAATTGCACTTAGTGCACTAATAGTTATGATATCAGCATACAATGCAGCCAAGCCACCAAAGTATCTATGCCCGAATGTGTGTTGGTGCCTACACAATTGTCTGGGGTTGCACGACCATAAAGTGTGCCACACAATAAACATTTTTCCCACTTTTGACTCCAGCAGACTGTTAACACTTTGCTCACCCTTTGCATGCGTATTTAACTACATTCTTCACTACACCTGCCCGTCGCTGTTGCTAAGCTGCCATTCATATTGTCCAAACTGGCGCCAAACACACCCAAATTGAATGCTTTCAGTAGCATATGTTTGCACAAGCTTGGCTCCCTTCTCGCCCGCTCGCCGCAAGCGCTTGACATTTTGTGCAAATATTGTCGGTGC